TCGTTTCCTCCAGGTCCTGTTCGGCTAATTTGACGAAAAGGCCTGCAAAGATCATGACCGTTTGTCCAGGCACGAAATGACGCCCATGGGCTCTTACTAAGCAGGAGGTCACTGTTCGACACAAGTTCCCCGGAATTAGTAAGTCGAAGAGATCATGGACCTCCGGAAACCCAAAATGACATCCTATCAATCCAGTGCCGATAAACGTGCGATCATCACTTGTGTAGTCAAATAGAATTGGTATCGTATGTTCATCTTCATAATCGGTAACTATTACCGCTGGCCTTAGTCCTGCACCTATTTCAGGCATTGGTCTGACTGGCGTAACGGCAAGATTGTCCCTCTCTATCGGTGGACTCCATATCCGCATCAAGGCGTCTCTGACTGCTTGGCCCCTTGTGACGACTATAGGCCTGTGGTTTCGACCAGGATGATCACGGTCTCTCCAAAGGTGGCAGTATGTGCTAACCCATACTTGCTCTTCGGGTGCTGAACCAACAAACCTGTCTGCAATCGAAAAGGCATACATCTCAAGGTAGCCTGGTCTGGAATTTGGGACCATGCTGGTTTGCATTAAATTGACATCTTCGGATTCATGGTGCACATGCCGGGTTCCTAATGTGCTAGCAAAATCCCCTTCTCCAGACTCTATGCAGTCCAGCGCCCCTTCTTGAGCAGGGAAGACATCAAGGAAGATTCTCTGCCAACTATCAATTCGCATCGGTGCTTGTCCTATAGTAATACCCGACGCTGTTGAGGCGAGACATTGCTCATCTTGACGTCCACATTCCCTGGAAAACAAGACACTCTCAATAACATCTTGTTTGGTAATTGCCCTTGGGAACAAGACCGCTCTAGGTGTGATTGGTGCTCTCCCATCGAAGAATCTGATGCACACCAAAACAGGCCTCATGTGGAAAGGAACACGGTTCCGAAAGGCAATGAGTTCTAACTCATGCATCTGCACTCTCTGATGCTGGAAGAGATTGACATCCACAAGTCCGATACTTACCGTTTCATCGGTACGGAATTGGTCAGCGTATAACTCTCGAAATCGGACCCTGTACTCATCCAGATTCACCAAATCATGGCTAAGAAATCCAAAGGTCCTAGTCTCATGAGGTAAATCTCGGAAATACACAACAGTAAGAGGCCAATGTCCCGTGGCCTGGTGACCAATTTCTAACAGGGCAAGAGAGACCGCGGGCAGGAAAAACACCGTATTTCTTACCCAAAAGTACCTCTCATTGTCACCGTGAACATTCATTCTTGGAGGTGGCTCGAACTGAAAAAGGCCCATCTCATCAATATCGAAGTCCTGCACTGGAGAGACTCGTTGAAGTTGTTTCGACTCACAGTGCACCTTACTGTCTTTGGCATTGGTAACATCTAGAAGGATATAAGACCCAGTGGAGTATCGAATCTCCTGATCTTGACGAAAGACTGTCTGACATCGGCCACGTCGGACACTACAAGTGTCACAGTGGTACCCGAGTTGGCTTGCTATCTTCCTAGGTGTAAGCTTGGTCCCGCGAACTGCAACGCGTTCTATAAGAGGCCGTTCAGCATGGCCACTGAGGACATCTATTAAGAAAACACGCTGCTCCTGATCATAAGCTCCATACGGCATCATAACAAGATGATCCACCGGCATGACGACTTTGGCAGGAGTAGGAAAAACCATCAGAACGATGGGATCCAGCTCGCCTCCAAGGCTCTTCCACTCTGTCTGCAAGAGATGATTTCTCCCTGTTATGGCGGAAACGCCATACCGGACTACTGCAGTTCCTCTTCTTAGACTGCGTCTGATTGAGAGCCTCTGACAAATGCTTTCTCTTCTTTGGTCATGAAAAGTAACAAGTTCTCCTTTGAGACATTGTTGGCCTTGGTCCAGGTTGAATCGAAAACGCGCATAGTCCCTGAAGGAAAATGCACAGGCACAAAAGTCCATCCTTGCTACTTCTCCTGAACTGGATGTAGTTTGGCGTATGGGAACAGCAGAAAAACTATCTGTTTCAAACGTCAAAAAAATGCAAGATATCTAAATGGTAGTGTTCGGAAGGCTGTGGCCTCACAATTGCATAAGAACAGCGATCAGACCTGATCCTATCAGACCATGCTCGACACATTACTTCCTGGAGATTGCCAAAGTAATTGGGTTCCACAACAATGTCTCTAGCCTCTCCATTGCATTCACTTCTGGGAGCATACCAGATTTTGGCCTCGAATGGCTCTTGGCCAAAGACAAGATCTTGAGCTCTGTTCCTAGCAACGTGATTAATGCGGCCTTGATTCAACTCCACAGGATCTTGTGTCTGTGAACTGAAAACAAAATCGCCCAAAACCGTGCGCCTATCACTGCTGTTGCCTTCCCCATGTTCAGTCATGCAACCAAAATTGGCACTGGGGGAGAAAACCGTGGACTGGCTGTGGCCTTCTAGATGCTGGTTCAAGCATCGGTCAAAACAGCTCCTTTCACAAGGCCGAGAAAAGGAACTGTCAGTCTCTGCTGACGGGTATTTGGCCTCTGGTAGGGCATATCCGTCACTATTCGATTCAAGCGCCGAAGGATCATGCAAGACACACTGTGTGCCACTCGAAGATGACTGGCTAGTACTATAGTCATTATCTTTGTCTCGTCTTGTTTGCCCTTCTGTGGCCTGATCAAAATCTGCCTCTCTATCATGCTGTATTGCAAGACAGTCTAAGTCAAATGCCGACAAACTCTGCTCTTCAAAAGGCGCAGACTGCTCCTCACCTAAATCGCCACGAACCTGATCATCATCATTCAGATTAAGATCGTATCCAAGTGTCTGCGCTGTGGCGGTTACGTGAGACGTAACAAAACTGCAGAGAATGAGCAAATGCTTCCAACTAATCCGGTGGCTCCTAATCCTGGCAGACGGTTTGCGAGCAAAATGCACTGTTCTACATTTGCCGAATCGGTCAATCCTCAAACGGAGGGTTAGTCTGGTTGCCATCACACCTGCCAGAAGTCCGATAGGATACCACAAAATGTTCTTAACCACTTCAAGCTGGATATGCACACCCTCGAAGTGAATTAGACGAAAGGCGGTCAGCACACTACAGCCCCAAAGAACCGTAAGTTGCAGACTCCAACTTAGCAATCTACTTTTACGGAGAGATCCCTTAATGGATCTCCACCACAACAGGGTTGCCCATTTTTGCGCAGTCAGCCCAAGACAAGCAACCAAGACGATGAGATTGACTAAGTCAATCCCAATTTGGGACGAAAGGCATCGAATACCGTAACATCTGATGTAGGCGGAAAAGTCAGTCTCAACCCAACTGGACTGGATATCAGACAGTCTTCGGTTTAGATGCCCTGCCGATTCAGACGAAGTATCAGCATTCATAAGCATCGGCTGATCCCCTGCAACCAAATGGCAAGGACCTATACTGTGCCAACACTCAGTGTCTCCTCGAACTTCGCCACTAGCAAAAGAGTCAGGTGTCGCTCTTTGAAATTCAGCGCCTTCCCCAACAATGCGATTCTGGTACTGCTCACTTTTGTTAGTCTCCTTCACGTCACTCCTGGACTCATAGTGAGGAGATCGAGCAGATCGATCTGATTTCAACCCATCCTTTCCAAGGAATTCGAAGCATCTCTTCGTGGGCTCCTCTCTCGGGATGGTGTTCTTGAAGGAATTTCTTTCGCCTCCAACCTCTTCTTGGCATCCTCTAGAGCTTTGAATCTGGCTAACCTTGCCTCTTCTGCTCTGTCGACACCTCCTTCCCCAACCGGCAAAATGGTTTGGGGAAACTTGTTGACTTGAGGTGACTTGTCGTTGAACGGAAATTCCCTGGGCTGGGGAACTACCCCCATAGCATAGGATTCCATCTTCTGTTGCAGATATTGAATTCGCGCATGCGAATCGGCTAACTGACGCTTCAACTCGGTTGTATCCATCTTGTCTTCTTTCGATGAAACGTCCATGGAATCTTGCTCCCTGGCAGTGATCTTGTTCAAATCGGCCTGAGTCTCCATGATCGCCTGTTCCAGCGCTTTGACATCTGCCTTGTAAGTCTCTTCTTGCTTGAGGTGATGCTCTTGGGACTTCTGAAGGAAAGCTTGCCAAGCTTCCTTCTTCTCCGTCACCTTGGCTTTGAGCTTGTCTAGTTTGGCCAGAAGCTTCTTCCTTGTATTGAGCGTTCTCTGCTCGGATTTGATGTCGTCCAAAGGACCACCCTCCAGGAGTTCCTTCAACTGTCCTTCTGGCTCTATATCCTTGGATTGCAGGAAGTCCAAAATGCCTTGTTTCCACTGGTCCGTCTTCCCAGCAGAAGATGCCGAAGAGGAAGACGTAGTAGATCGCAACGACTTGGATTGCAGGAAGTCCAAAATGCCTTGTTTCCACTGGTCCGTCTTCCCAGCAGAAGATGCCGAAGAGGAAGACGTAGTAGATCGCAACGACTCGTAGGTGGGAAACTCCGGCTCCTTGGATTCCGCTCCTGCTCCCTTTCCTTTTCCTTCTTTCTTTTCTTTTTGCTTCTTCGGGTGGGGCCAGGTGCCCCAACCCGGCCAACTGCTCTGCTTGCCTTTCCCCTGAGCCCATCCTCCCATGGGATGACTATGGTGCGCAAGCAAAAGTCGTCCAGCTCGAAGTGCTCGACGTTGTTGACCCTTGGGCAGGTAGGTTGCACCTCTCAAGCTTTTCAAGAACCTCCGTGCTTTTGCACGCTTTGCGCGGAGTTTCCTATGCCAGCTTGGACTCTTCTCTCTTGTACGCACCGTCAGCTTCTGCCAGACACCCCTACCACCAATCCAGTCAAGCTATGGCGCGAAAAAAGCGGCGAGGCGCTCCGAAAAACACCGAAACGCCCCTGGGGCCCTAGGATCACACCGCTGATGGTGTTAGCCGAGCCCTCTATAGTATATAGCAAGAAAAACCAAAACAAACAAACTATATATAGATATATATCAACACATCCTGCATATGTCAATCAACTAGACACACCTCGACCCGCCTCGCCCCGGCCTCTTGGAGTCCTTGGCCACGCTCGCCACCTCCGGCGCAGGCACCACACTGCCGCCGCCCGGGCAGCAGCCCAAGCTGACCCCGGCGTCGTTGGGGCAGCAGTTCCTCGTTCGCTCCGTTCAACGCGTCGGTGGGGGGTCCGTTCGGTGTTCGTTGGACGGAACAAGACGTTCATGGTTTAAAAGGTGAAGAAGTTGGGACATCTCCATTGGATCAATCGCCCGTTGTTTTGTCGTGTCTTGTTTCGAGGTCGTAATCCATGACTCATGTCTAGAACGAGCCCTGGCGTAGTCTCTTGGAGATGGTTTCAGTGGAGACCCTGGCTTTCTGCTTGAGAAGGTCGTCTTGGGATTGGTGCGGCTCACAGGTTTTGAGAATGTGTCGGAGAGTCGTGCCCCTCCAATGGTATATTCCATTACCATCCATTACCAAGGCGCAGAGAATGATGATGGGGCCTGGTTGCAGGCCGACATCTCATAGATAGTGAGAATCCTTTACCGACTGGTGGCAAGTCTGCTGATGTGTGCAGCCTGCTGATCTCCAGTCCCGAAACGGATGCGAAAGAAGCACTTTTCAGCGATCCCATGCCCACACAAAACCTAGAAACTCTGGCTCTCTCCTGTTCTGCGTCATGTGTCCCAGAAAACTGATAGCTCCAAGACTCCCTTGCAACTTCAGCTTGGCACACTCAGGCGCTGCCGAGCAGGAAGGGTCTGGCAAAGGAGGGTCGCAGTGGTGACAAATAGGGTGTGGGGGGGGCACCATCAGTCCTGTGCATGTTTGCATGTTGAAAGTAGGTGAAAGGGGTTGGAATGGATTTGCCTATATTTGCCTAATGTTTCGGGGTCTTTGGCCAATGCAAACTCCATCGAGCTACACTGCGGAGGCTCCACTGCCATATAAGCCAACAGAACTTAGTAACTAGCCTGATTGCATCTGATTGCTGTGATTGCTGACAATTGTCTGTATAGCAAGCTCACCCAAATTCAAAGCTTCAGATCCTGCCCATCCTCCTCCTCTATTCTTGGTGTCTGCACCATTTCATTGCCAGATATACCACTTCCGTCACTCGCACCGGTAACGCCTGCGGTAGCCTTAGCAGTCCCGGAACAGAAACCAGGAGAGCGACTGGCGACTGGAATCCACTGAAGGGGTGGGAGTGAAGTAGCCCGCTGATGGACATTACACCATCTGGCACCCCTTGCAAGAATATTGCTCTCCCTGGAATCATCAAGGAAGTGGAAAATGGCGTTCTTCCTCCTTTGGTGCCTAATGATATCGCTCGGCAAACCTGTGGGCGCCTTGCTCTTGGCGTGCGGACTCCTGAAAGCCTAAAAATAGAACCTGACTTCTTTGCGTGCTGCAAGTACACGCCGATGGGAACAGAAGACTCTTAGGGGGGGAAATCCATGTCAACGCCATCAACACCCCATTCGTTCGCTCGTGTCTCCAATTGCTGGATCACCGATTGTTGGCGAAGGGGATTCTTCTTGTCTTCGGGGCACCTCACTGCAGGATGTCCAACCCGTTTCTCTCACCGCACCACTGGGCGTGCGGCCAACTTCTGCTTGGCGAGGGCACCTCGGCGCAGGGGACGGCGAGCTGAACGTGGAATCGCCACTGAGTGAGGTGGCTTCCCGTGGGCTGTCGGGCTGTCCCGAGGTCTAGTCTTGCTGACCTTGTTGGAGGCCTTCTGCCCTTCTGCCTTGGGGGGAGTCGCCCTTCAAGTCTGCTGGCCAGTGGTCTTACTGGACAAGGGGTGCCAAACAGGACCTCGTTTTCATATGACCAGGACCATCTCGGGGAAGGCACGCCCATGAATCACATGAATCATGGACATGGAAAATCTTTCAACGTGTATTTTATGGAAGTTGATTTTGGAATTGGGCTAGTTGCCTTGCATCTCAGCATGAGCCTCCCAAACCCTCCAGTCAACCCCAACTCTTTCTTGAGACCACGTGCCAATGGCTGGCTAAGGCTTTCATGAACCCATCACTCCCTCAACCCGGCGCAACTGGATGGATGGCTCGCGGATGGAGAGCTCCAAGGGCTTTTTGGTTCGGAATCCGGCCACACAGACTCTGATTTCATCACTCAGCAGGATCTCACTCCTCCTCAGATCGCAAGAGTCCGGGTGAGACTCCGTCACCGGCGAGTCCGCGACTCATAAAGCAAGACTTGACAGAACCTGACGTATATGGAGAGAGAGAGAGAGGGCATGCAAAATTGACAGTGTTCAGTTCCGTGCGTGCGGCAGTTGGGTTCCAAGAAATCGATCCCCACCACCATTCCATACCAACACAAACCGGAAGTACACTAAAAAATGTGTTTCTCCACCTGGCCATGCGTCATCCTCCTCGTCGTCAGCCTTCTCGGCAGCCTTCTTGGCCGCATCAGCGGCAGCCTTCGCCTCAAAAGCCTTCATCAAGGTCTTGTAGAAAGTCTCATCGCCCTTCTTGTGCTCCTAGCTGGAAGCTGATCACGTCTGATCACCCTCAGTTTCTCGAGAAACCAACGGCCCACCCTGTTCCAACAATATCAACAATGCCGACCGCAAGTGTAGGGTGGAAGTAAGAAGACACCCCAAACTGGAAATCTGAGTCTTGTTGGCTTGCTTTTAGTTTCTCTCTTGCTCGTGCTATCTCGTGCTTCGGCTCGTCTCCTTGTTGTACTTCTTGGACTCTTCGATGCGGGCCTTCTTCTTTTTCTGCACCTCATCGTACTCCTCAGGCCACAGGCTGCAGCGCGTGCGTGACGCATGCGTTGTGGAAGCGTTCCGTGTGAAGCAAGAAGCAAAAGTGGGTTGCAAGCAGGTCTCTGATAGGTGTTCGTTGTAGATGGGACACAATGCATCAGTTCTCATCACAGTCAAATTGCACAAAAATTTGGTTTTCATACAAACTAATCCTTTTTTGAATGTCGTGCAAAGGCTTGTCAAAAAAAGGATGGACTACGATTATGTCCACCAGAGGTGGCTTTATTCTAGAAAAAACAAATCTCTTTTAAAAAATATATATATATATGTTAAAATAAAAACGAAAAACAAAAAGCGTGCAAACCGAAAAAATCACTAGCAAAACAAAGAGCAATCAAGAAAGCAAAAAAAAGTGCAACCAAACCAATTACTGGTGCCATAGTAAAGAACTGACCAATGGACCAGTGGTCTAGAATGTATGATCATGCATGATAACGCATGCCCTCGCCATGAACAACTAAGCGACATCTGTTCCCATTGAATTCAAGGGAACCCAAAAACCTTCGGAAATAAAGTATAAAACGCACTGCGAATTCCCATAGTATTCCGAATGTATACTCCCAACCGAACCCCCACATGTCCAGTTTCTTTTCCGCGACCAGGGCTCCGGAGTGCCCTTCTGGGAGGACTTCAGCTGCACGGCCCTGCGCTCCGTGGAGCCCGGGTTCAGCTCCTCCATGAGCTCCTTGCCTCGAACACCAGGGAGGAAAGCGAACGGCGATCGAAGACAAGACAGGCGTTCTCGATCGGTTGGTCAAGACCAAACAGGCAAACCCCAAAGGTCTCATGAGGCAAACCCCAAGAAACCAAACGAGTTCTGCTCCGTGTTGTCCATTGGTTTCTTGGGGCTTTGCCTGTTGGTGGCCAGCGGCCATAGTTGCATAAGGCATTCCAGCCGATCCCTGCTGTGAGGGTATCAGAAGTGGCGGAAAGGCTCCGCGCTGTAATGAGTGGAGAACATGGCTTGGCCCACGCACAACCAAAAGGGACTGCACACGGTCCATCTTTCGTCCTTCTAGGTGGGGTGGAGTCTTAGGGTTCCAACAGGTATCCAGTTGCCTCCTAGCAGGTTCCGCTGATGGTCAAATCAGTGTTGTGGCTGAGGCCACCACAAGAACATCGCTCGAACTCCCAACGCTTAAAAAACAACGCAAATCCAGGTGACTCTTCAAGGCGTTGCGCTTGATGCCGTGAGTGTATCGCTCCATCTTGGGCCGCAGCACGGACCTTGGAAGCGGCCAAGGCATACCAGACCAGACCAGGGAGATGTCCCAACTCCAGGCAAGAACTTAGGCTGGCCCCTCAGTTTCCCTAGAAAAGTTGACCATTTTCCACCTGTTCACTGTAAAAAAAGGTTAAGGATATTGAAGGTTCTCAACTTGGCATGCCGGGGCATGAAATCCCAGACCAGGCGCACCCAGCCATTGGTGGACCACCCTGCGGGCAAAATCTCTGGACCACAGCCCAACCTCCGACCTAAATAACGGCCAACTTCTACCGACCAATAACCCCATGCCCTATGCATACACATTAACCCCTGAACCCCCACGATGTAAGCAAATATGGCAGTCCTATGGACTGCTTAGGTGATGGGAATGAGGTAGATGCACCTCATGGAATTGAAGTTCTGAAGGTAGTCCAAGTAACTGCACCTCAGTGCTGTTGATGATACGCGCGAGGTCCGCGTTGGCCATGGCAGCTCGGGGCAAGGTGTAGCCCTTCTTCTTGGGGGCGCCGCTCCTGGGAAGACTCTGGCTTGTTGGGTCGTGCTTATGGGCAACACCAACAAGGATCAACAAGGTACAAGTCCACATGCCTGGGTCAATCAACCAGGTGGCTTTGGAACATGAAGTATCTCTTAACTTTTTCATGCATCCCACCTCCATCTGGGCCAAAAGAGAGCCTAGCCAAGCAACCAAGCAACCTCGCCATTCCCTTCAACTGGCACACGGGATGGACTGGGCATGGCTTCAGTGACAAAAGGCGTTACAGTTGCAATTATATAAGTGCAGTTAGCTTGCAAACTCCAGTTGACATTGTACCTTGAAAACCACTGGTATTTTTATTATACTAGGGGTGGTTATGGGTGGTTGCCGAACCTTTTGATCCACCCGAGTGAGTCAAGGCTCTTCAAGGTTCCATAGATGTCCGAGAGCTTCTTGAACGCGCCCTCAGTGAAGATCACGAAGCGCCCGAAGCTGCCTCCCGGTGCCAAACGCAGCAGGTTCAGGCGGTCCACGTGGGCGCACTCCACGCCGGGGATGTTGCGCATGGCGCGGGTGATGCCGTTGTCCTCATTGTAGATCACCTCATGTCCATGTCATCATCTGCAGCTTCGACCCAGGGGAATGGTGCAAGACAACAAAGACCTGCGGGACGGACGTGGCCCATAGATGCCCAAAGAATGGGAAGCACCCCCCCCAACATGGATCAGGAAAGCCATTGCCGGTGCAACTATCGTTCTTGGAGATTCACAAGTCTAAGCTGACGTCTGCATTTTTCTAATCACCATTTCGGCACACGAAGGGGGCACCTGCGCGACAACTAGCAGTAGATGTGCCAAGACCAGATGCAAACATCATTTGAGGGAGGGCTGCAAGGCAAAAATTCAACTACCCCAACACCCATAACCCCAAGCCATGAAATCCGTGGTATCCTCTAAATTGGTGATGTCAGTGATGTCCGAGAATCACGAATTCCGTGCTCCAAGACATGTCCATAAAGCCAGTGCCAGTCCGAGGTGCCAATGGGCCCAAACGCTTCACGTAGCGGCGGTTGCGTGCCTTGCCCTGTCCGGCGCGGATGCTCTTGGAGTCAATGACCTTCTGCAGCTCCTGCCCCGGAGCCGCAGGAAATGCCAAAAAAACCTCCAAAAAAATGCAATAGGGCCCTCTGCTGCTTCGAACACGTGCGTCAAGGTCGACAAAGACCCACCGTGTTCGCTGAGAAACCCGGCGATCGCTGAGCGTTTTTCGCTGCAGCGAGAACTTTACGGGCATCTGCCCGTAGGAGGAAAAGTTCTTGCCACTGGTATCATGCGAGTGCCCTCGACTGCAGCTGTTCCCGCCAATCCCAATTTCCCAGTCCTCGCCGCAGCCCAGCTTCTTCAAGGCCTCCTTGGCCTGCTTGGTCTTGGTCAAGGACTGGATGCCATCACTCACCACCAGGGGAAGTTCAGCCACCTGCGGCTGAGCTGAAGCTCGCAACACGCACGAAGCTGCTGGTTGTTTCAGCCCAAAAACAGGCAAAGGGAAGATGCGTTCTTCCTGCTTCAAACGGCGGGACACCTTGGGGACTATACACAGAGGAGATTGAGAACAATTATATACATTTATGAATGAACACTCACGTTCCACCATGAAAACTCCTCTTTATGGCTCAGATTTCTGGCACGCCTGGTTGATCTTGTGGCCTCGAGCCATCACCAGAGGCGGCAGGGCGCTGGCGGCCAAGGCGCAGGCCACGGCGTGGCGCTTCTTGGTGACGTTCACCTGAGCTGAAGCTTTCAGCCTGTGGAGCGGAGTACGTTACTACGTCACCGTCTGGGCATATTTGGGCACAGGTCCCAGATGGTTCCAGCATGCTTTGGGCGTTCGGCTGGTCCATTGGTGAACCGACAGTTCCACGAAGATGCTTAACTCGAGTTCAGCAGCACCAAAACGAGTTGCCTTGCCTCAAACATGCGAAGTCGCATGTAAAGATATGTAAAGTATCTTATCAATCTTATCACATCCAACAAAACAATTAGTCTTAAAATGGTTTGATCCTTTTTGGTGCCCTTTGCTTAAGCCGAATGTGGTTACCCAGGTGGCCTCCATGGTCGCAATGATTCTGGTGCAACAGTCCACCGGCCAACGCAAGAGAAACCCAAGCTGCTTTAAAAGAGCTCATCCGGTGGAAGCTGTTTTGGACCTATCTATGGATTTATATATATATATATACCTCGTCTGGAGCTGGTTCCCCAAGACCCGAAAGAGTGTCAGCCTCGAGCGAAACTCCGCGTTTGCGTGCATGCGAAATCGGGTGCCGGGTTGAATCGGCGGCCTTAATTCAGCCCATCCATGTCGGAATGGCCTCCATTGGCATGTCTGTCAAATCTCTTGGATGACAGCCGCCAGTCATGCAGTCAGACTAGAACAGCCTACCAACGAAGCCCAGGATGGCGTCCACTAGGACCAGGATTGCCAAACTCGTCTCCCCGTCCAAACCACTGTTCAAACAAATGCTCAGCAGGCTTGCCACTAGGAGTGCAAAAAAGTGTTTTCTTCGACGACGGTCGCCAGCACACACGTACTGGAAAGCAATGAACACGAAGCCCTGATGAATATTCAAAACGGCTGCGTCTATTAGGGCCAGGGTTGACAGGAAGCTCTTCACACCATCCAAAACATGGTTTTTGAGGACGAGCTTCAGACCGATGATGACAAGGCAAAGCAGGACGAGGATGTTGCGTAAATGTGTGCTCCTCTCATCGCGCAAGCGAAAGCAATGCCCAAGGTGTTGTGACGAGAATACGGTTACGTATCCCTTTTTCGAGCGAGTGATGGTGATGCAGTTCAACTCTGCAGCTATTTGAAGCGCCACGTCATGCCGTGTACCATGCCCTTCCAGAACAAATGGGGAGGACTTCCATTCAACCTGCGAATTTGCCGCAAGTATCTCTCCAGTGCGACCGTCAATCACCATCATACCATCTGCCGAAAAGCTTTCTCTCAATCGGCTTTCCGTTCCTGGGTTCTGAATGCTTTCCCCCAACAAATCAGAACCCTTGAGAGAGATCTTCTTCACCCGAGGTTGCAGTTCTTCTGGATCACCCAGCACCAGTATGCAACCCGTAGGCTTGCCCTCGTGGGTGTTGTACTTCACAGCCGCCTCTACAGAGCTTTCAAAAACACTCCGATGGACAGCAGAAGGAAGGCGAATCTTGTGAAGATTTCGCGGCTGTAGCTCGATTATGCCGACAGAAATGTGGCGCGCAGTTTCTTGAACCATCCTGGATGTGCCCATCGACATGGGTCAATGAGCAGGGCCGCTTTGGAATCATTTGAGCCAACAGGTTCATTTGATGCATACATCTAGTTTCGTCTTCATAGCTGCTGACTAGCGGGACAAGCACGTACAGTCTCATAAACCAGACCGAGTTGGTACGCACCCCTCCCTCCTATCCTATTGTTGATGGGAGAGGTGCTTCAAATTCTTAATCTTCTGCAGAGCCCCAAAAACAATACAAATGCTGCAGCCTTTCCCGGACTCAAACAACAATGAAAAAGGAGTTCCTTCACCACAAACATGCCCACCTTGGATCCAAAACCACTGACTGGAAAGAAGCATTCACAAATCAGAGGGCTCAGCCAGTTCAAGAGTCGTGTCGAATCTTTCGTTGGATTGCCATGTCGGGGTCAAGTTGGCCTCACCTTCGATTCAGCCAGTCAATCTCTACAAAGGCCATTCTGCTAAGACATGCTAAGACTAGGATACTCATTTCAGCATCCAAACCACGGCATCCACTAGGACTAGGATTGACAAGAAGCTCGTCACACCGTCCAAACGAAATCCTTTAAGGATGCTGTTCAGACCGATGATCAAAAGGCATACCACTAGGATTGCCAGAAAAAGGGTGCTCCTCTCATCGCGCAAGCGAAAGCAATGCCCAAGATGTTGTGACGAGAATACGGTTACGTATCCCTTTTTCGAGCGAGTGATGGTGATGCAGTTCGACTCTGCAGCTATTTGAAGCGCCACGTAGTGCCGTGCACCATGCCCTTCCAGAACAAATGGGGAGGACTTCCATTCAACCTGCGAATTTGCCGCAAGTATCTCTCCAGTGCGACCGTCAATCACCATCATACCACGCGCAGAAAAACTTGCTCTCAATCGGCTTTCCGTTCCTGGGTTCTGAATGGTTTCCCCCAACAAATCAGAACCCTTGAGAGAGATCCGCTTCACCCGAGGTTGCAGTTCTTCTGGATCACCCAGCACCAGTATGCAACCCGTAGGCTTGCCCTCATGGGTGTTGTACTTCACAGCCGCCTCTACAGCGCTTTCAAAAACACTCCGATGGACAGCAGAAGGAAGGCGAATCGTGTGAAGATTTCGCGGCAGTAGCTCGATTATGCCGACAGAAATGGGGAGCGCAGTCTCTTGAACCATCCTAGATGTGCCCATCGACATGGGTCAATGAGCGGGGCCGCTTTGGAATCATTTGAGCCAACAGGTTCATTTGATGCATACATCTTCTTTCGTCTTGATAGCTGCTGACAAGTACACAGACCGAGCTGCTGCTATGCATTGGCTCCATCGTTGGTGAAAGACCTTCCGCCTCCCCTACAGTATGGGCCTCTAAAAACCAGGCAAATGCTGCGGCTTGCCTCAACTCAGCTGGATTTTGTCCACCTTAAGAACCACTTATATAGCGAATGGAAACCTGGGCGAAGCTTGAGCCCTGGCCTAAGAACCCGCACCCTCCAAACAAGACAAACGCGTTGAGGCGACCGACCCCCTGCTTCTGTGGAGGCGACCGAACCCCCTGCGAACAAACCAAGCGGCCCTTCGATGCCAACGGCGCCAAATGGTCGTCGGGTTGAACATCCCTCCGCCGCGCGCCTGGTAGTGGGCACAACTGCACATCCAGAATCATCCAGACGTTCTGTGAAACGGCTTGTTCTTATGAGTCACACCACAGATTGCCTACCTATTGGAGGGGTGCCGGGGTGCCCAGTATCCACACACTGGATGGGACTAAAAACCACCCCTTTGTGAGTCCTGGTTCATGTTTCGGCCTTTGTTGTGGTTGGTGTCTCGATGTGTTCTCGTGTTACAAAGCTGCTTTGATGTGCGGCCTTTTGAAACTGCGATGTGCAGCGCTTCATGGCGCTGGCATTCGGTGCTTTTTCCAGGTGAAAGCGTTGGTTTTGGAATGCTGGGGAGCACTTGCAGAAAGAACGGCTTGGCACATTATCTGCCGGGTTCTTTCTCCCAGGTAAGAGAAAATGCTCGAAGGCTTCAATGCTCCACTTCAAGCGTGTCTTTCGGCAAAGGATTAAGGCCAATCGGAACCATCAGGGAGCACACGCCGCAACGAGTAAAGATTGGAAATTTGAAACTTGAAGCCATTCAGCGAGCATCGGTTGCAAAGGGTAGGCAACAGGAACAACAAAGCCTTCACGTCCCTTCACATCGAATCCCAAAAATCAAACTCGATCCCGACTCCCAGAAAGCTAAAATGAGGGAGCTGTGATGCCCTTTGCTGCTAACATGTGTCAAGATTTCTGAGGTAAGCTTCCAACATTCTCTGCTTGCTGGTCATCTGCCCACCATCGCCCCACTTCCCCTGCAGCCGCCTGGTTGCCGAAGGCAGCCTGCCCTGCGCGGTGAGTGCCGCCGCCCGGCGCGCGGGGAATACGCGCCACGGCGCGGCCGGTGCACCAGGATTCCGCCGCGGTGTCGTAGCCGGCCTTGGGCTTCACGGCATAGGCCTGCCTGGCAGGATGGAGATGGAGGCGGATCCCTGCTGGCGGGCACTAAGTGAGCGATTGAAGCTTCACAGAAGCGGCAGTCCAAAACAGTGCCTAGCGAATGGGCCAGTTCTACGTTCTAGCATTCTAGCGCTGAGGTAAGGCCAAGCAAATGAGGGGATGGTTGCAAGCCTGTTCAGCCTTCGATATCCCTCACATGATTCCTATCCTAAATGCTTTTTGGCATGGCCAAAAGGAGGGGTGAATGACGTGTCCATCCACCTGGCCATCTAATCCATCTACCATTCTATGTGGATCATTTAACTACCAGGGCCCCCTAAGGGGTGTGCAATAATAGCCCCTTTGAGGGTTATAGATATAGTAAATAACATATATAATATAAGGGATGTCTATTCACCGCCTGGCAGGGGGTCATGCTTCTTGCCCTTCCCACTCCACCCGTTGGTCCGCCTCTTGTTCTTGGCCATGTCTCGGTGCACCTCGCGCACCAGGTCAGGCCGCAGTGGCGACTGCAGCACCACCGGCATGGGCATCGTGCCGGTCTTCTCCGAGGGGTTCCTTGGGTTCGGATTGGGAGCGAAGGGTCGCTGCTGAGCAAGCTGCTGCAGCTCTACTGTATACATCTGCCTATTTAATGTTTGTTGTAGCCAGTTCTTCATCATGTACCCCATGCAAAACGACCTCCAACGACCATCCATACCTGCTCCCACACCTTCCCCTTGCTCTTCGCCAACCCTGGTCTTTGCCAGGCATCTCGAAGTTGTAGATGGACACCACAGGCCGTGCGGTCGCCATTGGACGCGGCGCTGACACGCGGGCGCGGGTCCCACGCGGAACGTGTGAGGAGTTGTGTGGCGGATTCGGTCGGATCCTCGAGCCCAAGATGCCGAACGCGCCGAAGCGCAAGAAACAGAGGACGTTCCGTGCTGCCCACAAGTGGATGTAGTTTTCGCACCAGTATGTCAGTATGTCTGGGCTTTTGGAAGGTTGTCACAAGTCTTGAAGGTTTCTCCGCCCAAAAGCTAGGTCTTGAATGGTTTCTTGATGTCTTGAGCAATCCAAGAAGAAGTCTCACCTCACATTCACTCACTTGAGGATGCTCCCATTCCGCTCGTTCGCTCCCTTTGCTCCGGCCACACAGACTCTCATTCGATCGTCACTCAAAAGGATCTCACTCCTCCTCAGCTGCTCAGCTGTGGTGTGCCCACACCCCGAGGACACTGTTTGGTTAAAAAAATCTACGCAGATGTGCTAACAGTTAGCATAGCTCCAAAACAAAGAGAAGTCTACGTTCAAACTCTTTGAGCCCAACAAACCCATATCTCTCCGGAGATCTCACAGGATCACAGGGCATCACAAAAAGACCTTATTGTAGCCATGCTTCATCCTCCTCGTCCTCAGCCTTCTCGGCAGCCTTCTTGGCGGCATCTGCAGCGGCCTTGGCCTCAAAGGCCTTCATCAAGGTCTTGTAGAACGTCTCATCGCCCTTCTTGTGCTCCTAGCTGGCAGCTGATCACCCACCGCATCAACCCCGAGCGAGCGAAGGCACTGTAATGAATTTAATCGACTTCATGCTTTCCAGAAGCCTGCGAAGCTCCTAGTAGATCCAGAAAGCAGCTCACAGCCACCTGTTGGTAAGATACGATATAAGATGTCAAATAAACACACACATTACCTCCGCGTTAACTATATTACTTTGGGGACAAGCGAATTCTCCACTAATGGCATTGTGTTTGCTGTTCTCCCCCTTCCACTCTCCGCAAATCCTAAATCGAGCACGACAAAACCGTTGACCAGCACGCAAAGGACCCCAGTTCGGGATAGTTCGGGTGGTTTATGAACCCCCGCTTGACTATGGATGTTCCATCCAATGACCACCCGAAATGGGTGGCTGGGACCCTTCAAAAATTAAGTTCTTGGTCTTCTGCGACCTCTAGCCTTGCATCTCCTTGTTGTACTTCTTGGATTCCTCGATGCGGGCCTTCTTCTTCTTCTGCACCTCATCGTACTCCTCAGGCAACAGGAATTGCCGATGGACACAGGCCATCGGATGGCGCCTCTCTTGCACAGCTGTGAGGCTTGACGTGATCATTGAGGGACCGGCGTATACGGCGTATACCAGGAGATAGTCAATATATTCAATAGATGCCACCAACAAACAGCAGGTGCAGAACATAATCTGAAGCAATCCCAAAGCTCATCTGCCTCTGGCAATTGTTCTACAACTACAGTGGCAAAATGGATGATGCTAATGCTAACTCACACGGAATCTTTCCTTCCGCAACCCCACCACTCTGCAATTTGCAAGCCACAATCCCCCACTCCAACCATTTCCAACCCCACCAGCACACCATTTGAGCAGCACCAGGGTGCTGCTCCAGCACCTCCCAAGGCCAGCCACACTATGCCAGAGCCCTGTCATAGTATTCCGAATACTCCCATTGGTGCCCCACCTGCCCAGTGTCTTTTCTTCCACGACCAGGGCTCCGGGGTGCCCTTCTGGGAGGACTTCAGGTGCACGGCCCTGCGCTCCGTGGAGCCCGGGTTCAGCTCCTCCATGAGCTCCTTGCCTCGGTCGAGCTCAACCGAACGCAGGGACCAAAGCGGGGCTGGTGGCGTCCCGAAAAGGTCTGGTGGCGCGGTCCCGAGAGGGCTGGTGAATTTGCGGTTCATGCCAAGGGCTCCTGATACGTGGAAGGCAGGAGGGTCACTTGCGCATCGCAAAACGGGTCACTTGCGCATCGGGGGTCACTTGCGCATCGGAGGGTCGGAGGGTCACTTACGCATCGACCCAGTGGGTCACTTGCGCATCGATGGGAAATGACGGTGAGATGTGGGAATTGTCAATGATTTCAACTTGGCCCACGCGGCCACATCATCACATCTTACCTCCGGGTGGGGTGGGGTGGGGTGGGGGGGGATCTAATGGAATGATTGGCCCACGCGGCCACATCATCACATCTTACATGTGGGTGGGGTGGGGTGGGGGTGGGGGGTGAGGCGAGGGTGGAATCCTCCGCAGTGGGGCGTCAAACAACAGTGTCAACCTGGATCGGCTGACAGACTAGCAAGTACACAACAGCGTGCGAGCGAAGGCGAGTAGAGCGGCTTTTCTTTCGCACAATGTGTACCTTGAGCCAAAAATATTGGCAGTACGCATTGTCTAAGAGTATCATAGGACAGTAACAGTGTGGTGGAATCCAACAGCATGGAAGAAGAACCTGCAGAGAATCAGGGATCATTCACATACCAGACCTCTTCGATGTAGATAGATACATATATATATATATAGACACACAGATATATATACATAGATATAGATATAGATATAGATGATGTTGTAGTAGTGGTAGTAGTAGTAGTAGTAGCAGTGGTGGTGGTGGTGGTAGTGGTAGTGGTAGTAGTAGTAGTAGTAGTAGTAGCAGTAGTAGTAGTAGTAGTAGAAGACGCGAAGCACAGGCGACCCAAAACGCGACGCACAAGCGACCCAAAACGCGCTACACAAGCGACCCCCCGCCCTACGTGGAAGGTGGTGCGAGTAGTCTGGTAGTGCCAGCACTAGCTGAAAAGAAGGAGACTGGAGGTGAAGCTGGTAAACCCTGCCACATTTTGCATCAGAGATTCTTCTGTGAACCGCACCACAATCCCACGCAAAGATCACCAGGTTTGTTCATGATGCTTGCCTCTCCTCCACTAATTAGGTGATCTGCCCCCCCAACAGCTCCCACCCCCCTTCAACTGGTTGCTCAGCACGGCGGCCCGCCCCGAACATTCCGTTCTCGCAGATCCAGGTGGCTCTTCAGCGCGTTGCGCTTGATGCCGTGGGTGTAGCGCTCCATCTTCGGCCGCAGCACGGACCTCGGCCGTGGCGACCGATGTGGGGGGTGGATGGGAGTGGTGTGTTTCCACGCGCGTGAAAACACATCTCTAATCGCGATTCCATTGGCAGGGTCGGTACTTGCTATGAAACAATCAATCTGACAAATAAGTCGGAACAAAGCAAAAGACCAACTACACTCCCCGGAATCATCATTTTCCTCCACAAACAAGTGGCTTTCCATTTCCGTGATGATTTCCAGCGAGGGTGAATGAATCCGCTCCAAGTGACTGCACCTCAGTGCTGTTGATGATACGTGCGAGGTCCGCGTTGGCCATGGCAGCTCGGGGCAAGGTGTAGCCCTTCTTCTTGGGGGCGCCGCTCCTGGGACGTGCTCGGAGTGGTGTCTTGAGCTATCTTGAGCTCATGAGTCCATGAGGTCAACGCCAGTGAGGTCGACTCGCTCGCGCTTTTGTTGTGAATCTCGCTGTGCTGGTGGATAGTACACACACCCCGCTTTTCTCAAATGCCCCCAAGCAGCGCAAGTCCTAACTAATCATCTGCATCCGAAATCTCTTCAAGGTTCCATAGGATGTTCGACGGCTTCTGAAAATGTTAGATCTTAGTGGGACCCAAACGGTCCACCGATCTGGCATATGGAGTCGAGCTTCTTGAGGGTTCCGTAGATGTCCGACAGCTTCTTGAACGCGCCCTCAGTGAAGATCACGAAGCGCCCGAAGCTGCCTCCAGGTGCCAAGCGCAGCAGGTTCAGCCGGTCCACGTGGGCGCACTCCACCCCGGGGATGTTGCGCATGGCGCGGGTGATGCCGTTGTCCTCGTTGTAGATCACCTGGGTATGGATATGTATGTATAGACTGTATAGATCAAGTTCATGCCTGGTTCCACGCTGCCCAGCAGCACAAATCCCAACGATGGACCAAACAATCAACCCACATGTGTAGAATGTTCGTTAGGGAAGGTTCTGGGTCTCTGAAGTGACCGCTGAAGAAGAAGAAGAAGAAGAACCCCTCACCCGAACCAAGTTCTGGCAGGTCCCATGAAAGCGCACAAGTAATGGCAATTTTCTCAAAATGTATCAAACAAGCCCAGGTGTAGCAAACAAACTTCCATAAAGCAGCAAGTGCAATCCCAGGTGCCAAAGGACCCAAGCGCTTCACGTAGCGGCGGTTGCGGGCCTTGCCCTGTCCGGCGCGGATGCTCTTGGAGTCAATGACCTTCTGCAGCTCCTGGTGGTTTGTCAGACGAGCGCCCCATCAAAACAGGTCAAGCATCAGCAAAAGCAAGTGTTCTAACAGCTTGGTCCCAACTTTAGTGTCCAAGGGTACCAGCATACACTCCCAAGCCGGCAGCCTTTCTAAACGACAATCCAGCCCAGCACCCCCGGTCCTCGCCGCAGCCCAGCTTCTTCAAGGCCTCCTTGGCCTGCTTGGTCTTGGTCAAGGACTGGATGCCATCGCTCACCACGAGAGGAAGCTCGGCCACCTGTGCCAGGGCACCGCACTCCGAAAGGAGTGGAACTTCCGTTTGACCAAGACGTCTACTTCGTGCCGAAGCTGCGACCAGCTTTCCCTGGAAAGACCAGGTGACCGCCCTATAGACCACTCCTTGGCCGTCTTGGTGCGAACTTGTGCGAACAAAACGGAAAGACTCGTCCTCCACACACCGTATGAGGTATTGGTTGCACCAACCTGTGCCCCAACCTGTGCCCCAACCGTATGTGGAAATCTGGAACCAACCTGTGCCCCACTCTCCGCTGACTTACTCCCTCACTACCTCCTTCACTCCGCTTTCCTTCCTTTGCATCTCAGCCCCTCGCAGATCGCGATGACCGCGCGGTGCCTGGTTGATCTTGTGGCCTCGGGCCATCACCAGAGGCGGCAGGGCGCTGGCGGCCAAGGCGCAGGCCACGGCGTGACGCTTCTTGGTGACGTTCACCTGGGAGTTGTTGGACGTCTGGAGAGCGAGTGGCACGAGTTCCCCACCAACCATGCGATTTTTGCACTAGCAGGTTCTCATTTGGTGAGTCACCCAATACATCACATACATGAGTTTCAACCATTGCATCACATGTTGCTGGTGAGTTTCTCACCGGTATATTATATATATATATAATTATGTCTTTCTACCACTCAGTCTCTGCCCGTACGTGTCCAGCATTCGGCTGCCGAGCGGCGCGGCGGTGCCAACGGCGCCAGATGGTGGTGGGGTTGAACATGCCTCCGCCACGCGCCTGGTAGTGGGCATCAGATGGGCGGCACCGGCTAGGCATATCATATATAGATGGACATGTCATGTCATCATGTCATGTCTATTCTCGTTTTCAGCTCTGTGTGTTTTTGCAATTTGGGCATCTTTTTCCCTCAAAAAGATTATTAAGAAAGCACGAAGAGAGCACAAGCGTTTACTTCAGGAAGGTGTCTTTTTTCTGACCCCCTCAGTTTCCCTGGAAAAAAGGTTGACCTATTTCCACCTCTTGTTGTTGAGTGTGGGCCAATCCCTAAAAATGGCGGTCTAACTGGGTGGATTTCTTTGCCGGCTGTGCTGGAGGTAAACTCAGAGGGTTGTCCCTTACAAAGGTATACAGCGGCGATACCTTGTCATCTACCAGCACCCCTCTTCCACCATCCACCTCGCCCCACTTCCCCTGCAGCCGCCTGGTTGCCGAAGGCTGCCTGCCCTGCGCGGTGAGTGCCGCCGCCCGGCGCGCGGGGAATACGCGCCACGGCGCGGCCGGTGCACCAGGATTCCGCCGCGGTGTCGTAGCCGGCCTTGGGCTTCACGGCATAGGCCTGCCTGGCAGGATGGAGGGCAAATGGCCCTGTCGTGGGCTGGCCACCTAGGAGCGGGCCCGTGGGCTGGTAAAGTCCAGAAGCACACTGACTGTAGTATTCAGCGGCTAGTCAGCGAATCTGCGGAATATGGATGAATATGGCTGATAGCAGCTGCACCTTGCAAGTTTGCATCAAAATCCCTTTGGTGCGCATTCAAAACGGCCACGTTTATAAACGTTTATATCTTTTCCATCCAGATTGCTCTGACCTGGCCTTGGTCCACGTGTCAATTCCATCTCCTACACTCCCCGCTTTTTCTACCCCTGTCCCTTCCTACACGGTTTGTCCGCCTCTTGTTCTTGGCCATGTCTCGGTGCACCTCGCGCACCAGGTCCGGCCGCAGAGGCGACTGCAGCACCACTGGCATGGGCATCGTGCCGGTCTTCTCCGAGGGGTTCCTGAGAGCGGATGGACCGGAGGATCCCTGTGCGCTGACAGCGTGCACAGTACATGCGTCACCCTGGGCTCTTTTTGGTGTGGGTCGAAGTCATGGTCTTGTTGGGGGCGAAGTCGTGGCAACACTAAAGATCAATCGGGAAAAAAAACACGAAATCATTAGAAAACACTACTGACCCCTCATGTCTCCTCATGGTCCAAGTGTCTCGAAGTTGTAGATGGACACCACAGGCCTTGCGGTCGCCATGGACGCTTACCAAGGGAGGCTGTCCCACGTGGACGATGTGTGAGGAGTAGTGTGGCGGACGCGTTCCGAACCCTGAGCCAAAACACACGAAGCCATACGAAGCCAGCACCCAAACCAGGCATCTTGGTGTTGGACTTGGGCTGCGTGACAGGGTCACTAACGACTAACAACTACATTGACATGAAGAGAACTGGATTGAAACCTGTTTTGTTGGCAGGGGAAATGGCTTGCGCAAAAAGGATCTTGGTCTCTTCAAGCCTGTGATTCATGGTCTCCTCGATGTGTGGCACACGCCGCTCCTTTTTTCATCCGGCCACTCGCTCTCCGGTCGATTCATCTTCTTGGTAAGGATCTCACTCCTCCTGAGCAAAACCATACCGAAAGGCGGGAGCCCAAAGCTGTCTTAGGGTTCGCTGGTGTTTGTTTAAATGGTTGGTCACTGCTTGGCATGTTTCTTCTTTCTGTAGAAAGGTTGCCACAGAAGAAACCTCAAACCAACCCCAAACCACCTCTACCCTGCAAACACCATCACTTCACCTCCTAAGCAACGGCCCCTGGAAGAAGGGAAATAGATCAAATGAAAGCACCTGGGGCAACTAGCAAAGCATGGCAGAGACACCATAAAACGCTGCTAGACTCCTATATTATATATATATATACCCTACCAAAAAATCCTAGGGGACCCCATTTTAGCAGCAAAGAAGTAGGAACAAACATGCGTTGATCCTTTGGAACTCATCAGGTATAGCACCCCTCTCACAGCCGTCACCGCAACTGGACCTACGTCGGTCGACGCGCGGGTCGACTGGAGCCGGGACCTGGCTCGCGTGCGAAACTCCAGGCGGTTGAACGCTTCTGACTCAAACCATTCCAATCAGAACGAAAGCCAGTTGTAGCTGACGAGGTGGGAGTTTCAGGTTGACCGGGTTGACCTATATATATATTATATAAGAACATCACCCTCCACGCCCTCATAGGAGGGGGCCGATTTGCTGGTGGAAGTGCCAAATGGCACGAGCTCCCCCAAATACATCCAAGCGAAAACTGCAGAATGAGGAAGGAATTTTCATGAATTGTCCATCATATGTTCTGTGACCCAGCCATGACAACAACGACGGCGAACACTGAAAGTGCCAAGCTCAGGCCATGTCTCATCCTCCTCGTCGTCAGCCTTCTCGGCAGCCTTCTTGGCCGCATCAGCGGCAGCCTTCGCCTCGAAAGCCTTCATCAAGGTCTTGTAGAACGTCTCATCGCCCTTCTTATGCTCCTTTTTATGGCCAGGTGGGGCTAGGTTGCTGTGGCGGAGTCTCTGCAGCCTTACATTCGTGTCCTTCCTACGGGCTTAGTCTTCCAGGGTCTTGGTGGTCGCACCTTGAATGACATAAGGTATGTGTCCACTAGGCCCCTCGCAGCCTGAAGCAAATGGATCCCTCGGTGTGGCGGCGGTTGAAGCACATGTTCACCACACCACCACCATTGCATCCCCACCACTACTGGCTTTTCTTTATGGCGCCTCCTGGTTGCAGTCTGAAAAGGTCCTTTATTTAACTTTAATGAAAAATACAAAAGCAAAGCAAATGCTTCGTGTTCCCATGTGATTGGTCATGTGCTCAGGCCACCTCTCTCCTAGGCAAAATTCCAGCTCTCAGTCCGCAAAGACTGTACTCAGTCATGTGTTGGGTCGGTGTCTCCTTGTTGTACTTCTTGGACTCTTCGATGCGGGCCTTCTTCTTCTTCTGCACCGCATCGAACTCCTCAGGCCACGACCGGTTTCCGGGAGCTTGGCCGAAAGAGGGGCCAGGCCCTGCAGCACTGCGGCTGCAGTGAGGAAACAGATCCAAAGAAAAGTAGTGCCGTTGTACGACTGCTCGATGTCATGGATGCGATTTCCACACTTCTTGTCAGTTTGTTGATACCACTCTTTAACTCACTGACATGGAAGTGGGAAGTGGCCGCCGGGAAGACTATGCTCCTCTACCAACAGAGTGGCGTCCACTTCCATGTTAGTGAGTCAGGGTGCGCATATCCAAATATCCATCATGAACTTAGTTCCTTCAAATCTCCCACCAGCGACGAATCTGAGCTGCTGCCCAATGCGATTCCTAGCTGCTCCTTCCTTTACCAGTGCTCCCTTCCCGGTGCTCCGCGGCCCCCAAAGTCACCACGCACCCAGTGCCCAGTCACAACTCTGTGTTGTCCGCATGGGCGAGAGAGTTGCAACCCCAAAGGCAGTTCCCAAGCGAGCAAGGGGACTCGTACCCCAACTCCCATCCAGTTCCAAACGGCTTGTGGTGAAATGGGCGGCTATATGACCCCCGAGCCGGTTTTTTTCCCGAGCCGGGGAGCCGAAAGCTAGTCAACTTAGCTGTCCTCCTCCCCAAGCTGCTTTTGGCACGTGCAAACTGGACATGTTGAAGAAACCTACCAACATCCATGTCCAGCTAGTAAACCTACCAAGTTCCTCACCCATTTTTGCTTTTGGCCACCAGGCTTCCGGAGTGCCCTTCTGCGAGGCCTTCTGCTGCACGGCCTTGCGCTCCGTGGAGCCCGGGTTCAGCTCCTCCATGAGCTCCTTGCCTCGGACCACCCCGGGGGATGAGGTCACCGAGCTCGGCACTTCCAACGGAACGGTTGGGAAGGTTCTTGTCATGGTTCGTCCACCACCCCAGGTTCAAACAAAAATCAATGGAAAAAAAACAGTAGTTCTTATCTTCCAAAATCCCTCACCAATGGAGGCTTGCTTGAATCGAAGGTGCGATGCCTCGATCACCTATGATCACTCACCTGGAGATTCAACAGCTTGTTTCCCTCTCTCTCTCTATCTTCCTGTGTACTGGACATCGGTTCTAGGCCATCATTTCTATCTCATCTCCATGTCTCTATGTCTACTGCCTCTCCCGTGCCCCACGTGCGCCCAGCACCTACACCTGGGCACATCATGTGACCCCGACCCGTCCGCCCTGCACCGGGTGACTCTTCAGCGCGTTGCGCTTGATGCCGTGAGTGTAGCGCTCCATCTTCGGGCGCAGCACCGACCTCGGCTCGGCTCCGGCCGCACCGGCCGCCCGTTTTGTGTCGGCTCGGCTCCGGCCGCCAGCGGTCCGACTGGGTCACGGCCGCCCGTTCGTTGCTGGTCGGTGGTGTTTCTGGGGCTCTGCGACGTCGAAAGCGACGAAAGGGAGGACGAAAAGGAACGTCACAGAGCCCCAGAGAGGTCAGGCGTTCATCTGCTTGATATTGCTTCCCAAAAAAAGGTCAAATGACAGCACTCGGCTGTCATGGGCTCGGTCATGAAGATTCTACACAATGCTGAGCCTAGCAATCGAGGAATGCTCCAAACCTTCCTTCTTCATCTTCCTTCTCCCTTCTATGAAGATCTGTCTTTATAAAACGCATGTGGTGCGGGTGTATTGCACCCTCTGTTCCTTCACCCTTTCATGGCCCTTTCTCTGACTCTGTTGGAGGCCACCTGGTGGAATGAATTGAAGCGGTTGCCTGGGTGCTTTGTCCAAGTGGCTGCACCTCAGTGCTGTTGATGATTCGCGAGAGGTCTGCGTTGACCATGGCGGCCCGGGGCAAGGTGTAGCCCTTCTTCTTGGGGGCGCCGCTCCTGAGAATCTCTGGCTGAGATGACTTGTGGGGTGTTGATGGAAGGTGCAAGTCCACATGCAACCAGGAAGATGAAGTTCCTACCATGGATCCCACCTCCATCTGGGCCTAGCCAGAGGCCAATGGGACTTGCGGCATGTCATGTTCCTGTGGCATACATGGGTGTGCCTGCCTTGCAAACATGCATGCATGGCTTTGCGCATGCGTTTGCATTTTTCAAGTTGTAAATCTGAACAAGGGGCACACAGCTCAGAAAGGACCTTAACCGTGGCACGATTCCCTATGGCTTCAAGATATTCCATGCGTCCTACCCAAGGAAAAACTGATCATTTGTTAGATCTTATTGGGACCCAGACAGTCCATCCATCTGGCATATGGAGTCGAGCTTCTTGAGGGTTCCATAGATGTCCGACAGCTTCTTGAACGCGCCCTCAGTGAAGATCACGAAGCGCCCAAAGCTGCCTCCCGGTGCCAAGCGCAGGAGGTTCAGGCGGTCCACATGGGCACACTCCACGCCGGGGATGTTGCGCATGGCGCGGGTGATGCCGTTGTCCTCGTTGTAGATCACCTGATGTGTTTAGGGCCACCCCCTCTGAGCTTCAAGCAGACTAATCGGCACCAACTGGGTTTTCCACTTGCATTGTTAGATGATGGAGGGAGGCTGAGGGTGCTTCTTGCGTTCTCCCGACCTATCATTTGTACAGAAGCTTTGGGCTTTTTTTGGAGCTGTTACAGCAGCGTGCAAGCAATAAAATCAACAAACACAGAGTCTCAAGGGGAATCCACTGCAGGCATCAGAAGGCGAGGTTGAGGGCCGGCCTGTGTGGCGATGCAGGATCTGCAGGTCTCTTGTACTGGGTGTCTCACGATGCCGCACCCAGCAGCATTTCCGATCATTGTTCCAAGGATTTTGTTACTATGGAGCAGCACGGATTTTGTTACTACGGAGCAGCACTGGAGCATACCGCACTAACACCCACCATGAACACCGCACCAACAACCACTATACATTCAGCAGACTTTTCGGCCCATCACCACACAGAAGCCGCCCACGTGGCTGAGTGCTTCCACCTCCTCTCGCAATTCTGTGCAGTCCAAGGTGCCAATGGGCCCAAGCGCTTCACGTAGCGGCGGTTGCGTGCCTTGCCCTGTCCGGCGCGGATGCTCTTGGAGTCAATGACCTTCTGCAGCTCCTGCCCCGGAGCCGCCGGAAGATCCGCGGGGATGACCAGGACATCGGGGCACACCAGGAGGCGGCGTCATGTGTGGAGCTGCAATTTGGGGGAATGGAGCCGACAGCAACCATGTGGACAGCATGGAGAAGCACAGCTATGACCCCTCCGAAGCGGACCTCTTCACAAACATGGCGCGGTCCTTAGGTAGGCGACCCGGTGAGCATGTCATGCCAGCACTGGGAGTATTTCTGCCATACCCAGCTCACCCAGCTTACCCAGCTTCGGTCCTCACCGCAGCCCAGCTTCTTCAAGGTCTCCTTGGCCTGCTTGGTCTTGGTCAAGGACTGGATGCCATCGCTCACCACGAGAGGAAGCTCAGCCACCTCTTGCACTGCACCACTCCAGCACATGAGGGGAACGAGGAGGGCCCGCTCGTCCAATCGCATGACCAAAGAAAATGGGTGCGCCAAGCGCTGATGTGAAGAATAAAGGGGTTCGCCTGGTACAACTTCTGGTGCGATATACCTATATATATTCTATTATATTTTGGTTGCAGGGCATCTCCTCATATTAAACAACCAAAGTTGAAGGCCAACAGTCATCTGGGTGCCAAGTTATGTGGGCCTCCGTCTTTCCCGATGTTCATTGGAGCCTTGGATTTGCCGGACCCTTCCAGAGAGGACGGCACCGGAAGGCACCGCGCTCATCAACGTTCCATGAGTGATTCGGAACCCATCAAACACCATCGTTGAATGTCAAGTGGATCGAAAAAAGCCCAGCGCCCGTCCCCACAGATTGCCAACTGGATATTATGTGGAAATCTGGAACCTCGCTACTCTCCTTCACTCCCCTTTCCTTCCTTTGCATCTCAGCCCCTCGCAGATCGCGATGACCGCTCGCGGAGGCGATGACCGCGCGGTGCCTGGTTGATCTTGTGGCCTCGGGCCATCACCAGAGGCGGCAGGGCGCTGGCGGCCAAGGCGCAGGCCACGGCGTGACGCTTTTTGGTGACGTTCACCTGGGAGTTGTTGGACGTTCTGGGCACGTGGCCGTCCAGAACCCCGCACACAGAGCTAGAGTAGCTGGGGATCTAGTCAGTGCACTTGCTGTTTTGCATTGCGTTTGCGTAGTTGGCAACATGGCGAACGGTGGATGAGCAGCTGTTGAACGTGCATATCTGGTGGTTCTGTTGTTCATGTTGCTCTCTATTTGGAGGCCACTGCATATCTATGTGTGCTTGTCAATTTGATGCAAGTTGAAGATTGTGTCAAAAGGTCTCCGTGGATCTCGAGTGCTGAATTTGGCCAATCCTGAAAAACAACTCTCCAGCGAGCAAGGCCATGGAAGTGGAATGCTGGGACGGCGTGTTTCGTTTGTTTTCGCCAGGTGGCCTTCCCACTTGTCCATGGCCATGGGACGTCAGCCAGAGAGCACCGTCTATCACACATTCGGACGAACACACGGAAGTGGAGATGGCATGGCCCCTTAGAAGACTACTTTCCCTACGAACAGGGGGGTGTCATCCACATCACCCACTTCCATGTGATGTGTTCGTCAGAGTGCACCTTCAGGGATCAAAGCCCCAAATCCCAAATCTGCTGGAATCACCTCACCGGGTGTGCGTGAGGTGGTGCCAGAACACGTCATCAGCTGGATGCGCAACACCCACAACTCAAATAGAAAATGCACAAGCGCAAAAGGGTCATGCGCTGGATTCTTCCAAGTCTATTCATCCTGGCCATGCTTGGGCCTGACCACCCACTCCTTGGGCACCCCACTCGGCGGTGCCAGCGGCGCCAGACGGTGGTGGGATTGAACATGCCTCCGCCGCGCGCCTGGTAGTGGGCGAAAAAACGCCACAGTCAGGTCCGGAAAAGACGCAGCAAACCACTACCTGACTCTACGTGAGAGAGTTCGGGTCCTGGTGACCACCAGACAAGTCCCATTCCGTTGAACGGTCACCTGGCGAATCCCTCTGTGATTGGCGAATCCCTCCCTGGCTCACCAAAACATCTTCTTGGACTTATACGTCAGTGGGACTCGTTTTGAGTATCGCCTTTGCTGTTGTGCGCAGCTTGGCCATTTCTTAAAAACGTCGTTTTTGAGAATCAGCAAAGGTGTCAGAACGCTACAGCAAGGAGACACATCTGTACTGGTTTGAGAGACACCCACATCCCACAGGCTCAGGTGCACCACCCCGACAAAAGCAAGCACGTCGGGGGGTCATCTGCACCTTTAAATTTCATCAAAACATATCAAAACCTTGAAGTGAAGTTGGCTTCAAAATGCTTCAAACCTGTGAAGTTCCATGTGTCTCCAATACCTCGCTCTTTTCCCCCGGTCGCACACACAGCTCGTTCCACAAACCCCCGAAGGCAGCGCCTGGTTGCCGAAGGCTGCCTGCCCTGCGCGGTGAGTGCCGCCGCCCGGCGCGCGGGGAATACGTGCCACGGCGCGGCCGGTGCACCAGGACGCTGCGGCGGTGTCGTAGCCGGCCTTGGGCTTCACGGCATAGGCCTGCCTGGCGGAGATGGAGGGAGTAATCCCTGGCTGGGGACGGAAGTGGGTGAGTCAGGCTCCGAAGTCTAAAGCCAAAAAAGAGGTTGATGATCGAATAGACCAACCTCCCGGTCTAGGCGCGATGCATGGCAGGCTCGATTTGGCGTCCTTTCGTCAAGGCCAGTTATTGTGGCAGTGACCAACACTTACATGTCCTTGTCACATCGTGCTGCATCTTAACTCCGTGGCACCTGGCCTTGGTGCTTTGAGCCCAGGTCCACCTGCCTCCACCTCCCCCACTCCACTGGGTCCCTGGGTGCCACTGGGCGCCTCTTGTTCTTGGCCATGTCTCGGTGCACCTCGCGCACCAGGTCAGGACGCAAAGGCGACTGCAGCACCACTGGCATGGGCATCGTGCCGGTCTTCTCCGAGGGGTTCCTTAGGTCGGAGCAGAGCAAGAAGCGAAACCAGAGGCGCCCATCACATCAGACACCGAATTCAAGTCCAGTTCAACCCCCCCTGGATTCTTCCGCGGAAGCCGAACACCGAGTCGTCAGCTCCGGAAACTCCGAAAACGTCGAAGACGGGTCACCTAGTGACCTAGTGGTCAGACCATCTTGTGGAATAGTCTTGAACTTGCAGGGGGACACTCCAACGAACACGGTGGAACAATGTGTTCTGATGTTCTTGACAGATGTTCTTGACAAGGGAGGTCAGTGCACTGTCTGTGAGCCGGAGAGGAATGGGGCCAGCTTCTCCGCTTCTCCCACCTACTTCTCTCCGGACTTCTCCCACCTGCTCCGCCTGCAAAAAACGATTCCCCCCACCAAAAACAACACGACGTGCGTAATCCAGGCGTCTCAAAATTGTAGATGGACACGACGGGCCTTGCGGTTGCCATTGCTCCCGAACTCGGTTCACCAACGAATCAAACTAGTGTCTTAGGGTGCCGGATTTGGTCCGTTCCTCGAGCCAAAACAACGGAGCCAAGCTTCTCACGACGAGCAGAGGTGAACTGCAATGGGATGCACATGCTTGCTCTGAAGCCGCGGGAAATGGATGGAAATGCCCCCCACCCCAATAAAACAGCATGAAGCAATCTGAATCCATCTTCATCCATCTTCTACCCTCTTGCAGGTGATCGACTCCTCCAGTTTCCCTGCTATTCCTCGAGAATCGCATGCGAGGCTGCTTCTGGCCTAGAGGCTCCCACCTTCGCCCTCCCAACCCCAAAGAGCCGTTTTTTTTGGCAAAGATCTCCTGTTTTCAGGCCACGTGGCCTGGCCTGAAGGCAGACGACCTTCAAAGCGGTCGTCTTACGGTGGAGCTGCCCCAACCCTGCCCCAACTGCGCTGCTGCTCCGCGCTTCCCGAGTGCCCGGGCCCCTCTGCAAAAGCTTCACACCTGGCTTCCCCACCGCTGTCGGTCCAGCGCCGGCGTGCCGTCGCGAGTTCGGGTTCGGACGGTCGCGTGAACGGAGTTCTCGCCACGGGGTGCAAATCCCGGAGAACGAGTGACTTTGACTCTAAAGGGGACCCAGAAGCGGCCAGAAGGGAATGCTCCCCCAATGGATTTGTGAGGGGACTGAAGAGGGCAAGGGAAGAATGACCCTGTTCAGTTGGCAGGGGGGCTGGCTGGTCCTTGTTGCTACCGTGTTGTGAGGTGCCTTGCCGAGATGTCTGCAGCTCGAAGACGGGTCGATCCCTAACTTTGACGAGCTGCCTCCACAAATAAGAGCACGTCCATGTGAGTCCATAAATCACAAGAGTCTGGTATTTTGTTTAGGTCTGTTGCATACCCTTTCTTTGAGCTCTTGGGACTGCACCGCCGGCTGCGGCACACTTGTGACAGGCCACCCCCCTGCAGAAATCGGGCCAAGTGGCTACACTCCTCATCCTCCGCCATGCAGGAGGGGAGAGCGGCTTCCACATCTTCCGCTCGCAGGCCTTGATTTTGGACCACCAAGGGTGCCTATGGCCTGCAGAAGGTTTGGGCTGCTCCTTGGGCCTCTTCTTTTGGGGATTCATTTGTTTGGTAGGCTCATGAAGATTGGTGGGCGTCTTGGTTCAATGTTGTAGTCTGCCTGGAGGCATCCTTCAAAATGATGTCTTTCATAATTCCATCAGATTTCATCTATAATACTAATACCCAATGGAAACCTAACATGGACCTGAAAACCACTGGTTTGTGGAGGAAAACGGACTCCGGGTCCCATTCTCAGGGTCCATGTGAGTTTTCGGGAGTGTAAACCATTGTAAGCCTTCTCCCTCTTTGGGCCTCTCACCTGCCACTTCGGGGTTCTCCCGGCTTCGACTGCATTTCCTCAGAGCGACATCGCCACAGCATCGCTCCGCCGATGAGGAAAAATTTAAAAAACACCGAGCCACATCGAAGGCCCAGAAGCAGCATCAGCGCGAGCTTCGTCATCGGCGCCACGGATTTGCAATCAATCGCCTCGTCTCCGGTCTCGCGAGCGAAAGGGCCGGAGTCGAAGACAGGGTTCGACGAGGCTGGTGCAGAGGAGAAGACCTGCAGATCAGTGGTTCTGTCATGTTGACTGTTGATTCTAAAACAATGCCCCCCCGTGTCTGTGGAGGTGCTTGACCCTCCAGGTAGGTTCTTATTTCATGAACGGCAGGTGTGGCTGTATACAAATTTAATCCTATGACCTACCCATTGTTCACTCAGACGCACGTTCCAGGGAAGTTGTAATTCTCCTGCTGGCTTTTCCCCAGCCTTCCAAGACCATGTAACATATGGTTGGGCTGGTTTTGTAGCCTAAAACGGTTGCTCAGTGAAGACCATTAAAGTAATGGCTGTTGGAATCCCAGAAATTTTGGATGTTTTTGGGGGAACACGAATCTGTGTTCGCTGCAGGAGTGCAGGAGAGGAGTGTTTCGAGGATGGTCGAGGGTGGCTTCTTGCTCAACAGCCGTGGTCAAACCAGTGAAGTCCTGGCTGCAATGAATCTTCTGGCCTCAGATTCCAGGAGTTCGGATACACTCTTGAAATAATCATGGACATCCAAGGGGGCCTTTTCCACTTCCATCAGTATCTCAGGGAGTGTAAACCCCTCGGCTCAAAGCAAAGACCCAAGACCGCAGGCAGCGCAGAGGTGTTGCTCACCGATTCGGAGATGAGCCCAACAACACCGTCGAAGAAATCCCTGATGATAGTGGTGTGCATGGGGAGAACAAAGCAAAGGACTCATTTAGGGGAAGTCGTTTCGCCCAGAAAGGACATGTTCCTACGGAAAGAACCACTATGCATATCACCTTCAACCACCATGGCCATGGCCATTGCAGCACCTCTCATAGCACTAGCAGTGACTAGCAGCATACCAGAGTTCTCCTCATCAAGGTGATCCTTGCTATGTGGACTATGGACTATTATATAGTCCTCCGCACCGCTGCACAGTCCAAGAAAACTGCCGAGCAGCAAAGACTCCTTGAAGCCACTGTGAGGCAAAAGAGTATAAACCCGACTTGCAACTGCTGAGCCAAAACGGTGTTCGATTCCTGATCGATTGGGAAGAATCCTGGACTAAGTAAAGGACATCAAAGAAGGTTTAACAACAGTCATCAAATATACACCAAGCACAACTTCAACTTGTCATGTTGGAAACCGTGATGGCTTGGTGCGATTTTCTTCACAAACCCATCATCTGCAAACCGGTACCTATCTACAAATTCCATCAGGAGAAATGCAACCCGCGAGTCTTCCACTTGTGGACTTGGCTTGGAACGGAGGTCACCACATATGTCTGTCTTCATTTGGGGGGACCTCGATCATGTTAGTTCCACGATCACACGCGCCACACCTAAGTTTTTAGAAGAAACACATCTGAGCACCTCGAGGTCTAGTTTAGACGAATGGATTACACCGTTTTTTTTGTACTTCTCGCATCCGTTCCGGTGGTACCAAAATCCAATGTGATTGACTACTGACTACTGATTGATCTGATCTGAACACTGTGTTTTCGACTGTGACGGTCGAGGCGTGGCGGAGGGTCGTCTCTTTCAAAAGCGCGTGGCGGAGGGTCGGTCGTCTCGACCCTCCACCTTCGTTGTTCGTTTTTCGTCGTACCCAACGGTGGGAAACAAGACACCGCTCTGAATGACTTATGAGTCATCTCATGTCATCTCCAATAAAAATGAATCCCCCTGAGGTTGTTGAGTCTGGAGGCACTTCACCTATCGTGGCCTGGTGACCTTCCATCACGGCGAAACCCACGCTGCTGCGCCAGGAGCACCCACCACGCGCGGAACCCGCGCGCGGAACCCACGCGAGCACCAACCACTGGGCCTGCGGCCCAGCCGGAAGTCATGACTACTACCAAAGGTGATCGCCTCGGTCGAGTTCTTTTCGCTTGCTCCCTTGGGATTCCCGGATCAGCTCGGTTTTGTAGTTTGCAGTCTCAGCCTCTCTTCCCCCCTCCCGACACGCTCCGTCCAATCCAAAAAAAACCTCCTGCATCTGGTTACCATGGCGGGGCGTCCGACACGCTCCGTCCGTGACGTCGGGTCGAAGCCACGCGCCACGCTGCGTGGTTCGTTTCGGCGCTCCAGGCGTTTCAGAAGATGCCAAGAGAGGTTGAGAGGTTCAGAACGTTCGGACCCTGTACAGGTCTGTGGTACATATATGGGATGGGCGACCAAGACGGGCGGTGAAAAACCTCTCTTGGTAAGTTGGGTAATATCCCATGAGCAGTATAGAGTGGATGATCGTGGTAGTGTGATGATCTGGTAGTAACTAAGTTTGGTGTTTGAGAGTGGATGATGATGGTTAGTTAAGGTGGCAGCGCGACATCTCAAGTGATCATCTTTACCCGACTGTGACTGGCGCAATGGGGCACACCTGATTCACACCGATCAGCACCCCCCATTGCTCATCATCGTTTTTGTAGGTGTCAACACTGCGAGCAGTGTCAAGTACGTCAATCAAAAGAGACCGCCGCTGGATGAAATACACTGACCTCCTCAGTTGTCCTGGACAAAGAGGCCATCGCTTCAAACCTTTGTCCACCTAATGGTTGATTTGAGGTCGGTGTCCCCCCACCTGCAGGTGGCAGGTGGTCCATTGGATCCGGCCCTTCCACTGAGACCCCACACCGTACCCTGCTCGGTGAGGACGGCCTCCACACTAGCTCTCGGCCGGTTCCGAAACAGGGGAGACACGGAGACATCAAGGCACCAAGCCACCACCGGTCATGACGCCCCAAAAGCATCCGACATCCCAAACAACCAGACGACGAGCGGATGAGTAGGACCCAGGGTAGACCAACAGCCTGCCAGCTCCACACACGATCCTTGAATCGACTCGGGCTCTACGATGACTTGGCACGACGACCACAACAACCCAGTTCCGGGTCGTCACCGCTCAAGAACTTGCAGGATTGTCTCCCCAAAAATAAGGCCTGACAGGACACTGCTGCAGCGGTCCATTTCGTCAACTCGGTATGCTATAGACCCCCCATATAGACCCCCCACACACTCCCCCCCACCCAAAAAAAGAACAAGTGGAACACAAGTGGTGCGACCACAAATCGGATAGAAAGCTGTCAGACTTGGGATGGCTTTGTCCAGAAAAAACCGCTCGTTCACCCCAACCGGTGTGACGTGCTGGTCTTCTGGGACCCCGCGAGGCGACCGCTGGGCTCTCCGAGCCGAGTGCTCCGAGCCGCAGGCCACGAGCACAGCAAAGCCTCGGACGAGGCACGAGGCGGTTCTGGGAGACGGCGGTGGTCTTTATGGGGTCTGCGAGACCGGAACAAAGGGCGGGTGAGGTGAGAGGCGGGTATACCTATCTATATATAGGTGTTTTTCTGGTTCGCTTTTTTTTGCATGGTGCCCTCCTGGAGGATCTCTGGGGTAAGAATAGCAAGGTGTTTGGCCAATATGA